AAGTTACAATTAAGTAATGTTGAACATCTGAGAAGCAGGGTCACACAGAGATTAACATGGGCTGGAGCCCCAGAAGAAGCATCTGTAATTGAAATACCTAGAAGTATTGCAGTGAATTTCAGGACAAAAGCATTAATTTTTTTTTACTAAATCTGCTTTCTCAGATCTGGGAAAAAGACAACAAACATGCCATGGTATCCTGGAGAAGAAATAAGAATTAGAAAGGCCTGGGAGGACTAATTCACGCTGCTTACCTCCAAGTCTTTGCAGCATACCCAGCCTGCACATAGAGGCTTCCATGGGCATCTACTCTAGTTGACTCTGTTAAAATACACAGATCCCAACACTTGATACACCAACTCTCTTTGCAACTTGCAGAACTGCATAAAACTCACTTCAACGGTAGATCGGGTACCATGGGTGAAATCTTGATACGCTGTCCTTGAAACCAGAAGAAGCACTGGCAGCTACCAGTGAGAGACACAACAGCTTAACTCCCTTCTTTTCCTTCCACAATGAGCAAAACTATTGAAGTATTACCATAAAGCACAACCCCCCACCTGCAAACGAGAGAGCTGATTATCACTGAAGAGTAACTTTAATTCATCTGTGGAAAAAAATGCAAAGCAGAATCTCATCTAAGGACGGCTAGTTGTCTTTAAACTCTCTCATGACTAAAACTGCTTCTGATACTACTCGAAATAGAAGCAAAGAGTGCTCAGAGCTTCAAAAGATGGTCTTTAACACTTAAATCCAATCCTTTAGCACCTGTTGGAGCAGCTATCAAAAGACCTCCTCAGGTCATCGCACAGCCCTTCCATTTAATCTCCAGAACCCTTAAAGAAAAAAAGCCCCTGAAGCGGTTTTCATGGAGGAACTTCAGGAAAAGGGGGGCGGGGGGGGGGGGGGGGAAGGGTAAGGTCTCCCCTCATAGAAAGATCAGCACATTCAGACAAAAAAACAGTCGTGAAGCATTTACTTTCTATAGAGCAAAATGTGCAAGCTTCACTTCCCAGGATATGACAAGTTCAAAGTTTTGTGCTTAGGGAGATCTTTGATTTATCTTTCTCCTTCTAAGATAGTAACACAGAATGGAGAGCACTGCCAGCAGCTTTCAAACCCTATCGGTACTATGGCTCTGTACCTGAGATTCACGCAGGTAAGTACCTAACAAAAAAAGAATCAAAGAACACATCTTATGCCTGTTTTAGCAAGGGAACAAATTTTGTACCTTGCCTAAAAGAGCTGGAGAGATAGCTGCTTCTGTGGTGACATGCATGCAGTTTGGGGGGAAGATCCCACCTACAGTACCCAGCATCCATGCGAGTGAGGGGAAGTAAGGGAGGAAGGAAGGCTGCTCCTCCACTGCCCAGAAATCACAAGTCAATGGCTGCTCCACCCTTCCCCACCCCTCCAGAAGTTTCTGTTTTTTTAATTTTGAGACACACAAGTTCAATGGCTCAAACAGCCACAAAGTTTTCTTCATACTGAAAAAGTGATTATAAGTTCTCTTCACTATGACCAGGACAAAAGGCAGCTAAAATGAAAGTGGAGATTCTCACAGGACTGTATGAGCTGGGACTTCATCACCACAATACTTATGATAAAATGAAGCTGGTAAAGCAAAAAGATGCACATTACTGACATGCAGATACAGAGTAACTTTGAGCTTCCAGTACTGTAGAGGTGCCTAGCCTTAAATTTAGTCTCATCATGTGGGTAGAACCTGTAGTAGCACATTGCTTTTAGCCTTTGCAGTTTGGGAATGTCAGAAACTCAGTCACTGAAACACTGTCCAAGAGCCTCTTAACCTCACCATCATTTCCTGCCTATCAACTTTACCTGATCCTTTTAAGGGCAAACTTTTTATAGCGGATTTAACAGAAGGATGTGAGGAAAATTCACATGTCTTTGGAAGACCTCTTAGACCCCTGACAACACTGGCAAGTTTAAAGCTTTGTCTAACTGGAAAGAGGATGACTCGCACTTGACAGATGCTGGTCACATTGCTTAACACATTCTGGGAGGGTACTCAGATACTCTAGACATTACATTGTACATAGCTGGGGATTATCACTAGCTGCAGAAAAAGTAAAGGGATGAGCAGTTGCACATTTTTCTTTGCATACTCAGAAAACTTCAGAACTTTTTCAAAAGCTCCTCTCACTTCCCCCTCCTTTTAATCTCTCTTACTCAGAACCAGCGATGACTACATATGCACCAGGAAGACTGCATGACCACAAATATTAACAGCAACAGCCTTATGGCAACCAGGCATTCTGGAGAGATGAAAGCAGTAAAAAGCATTTTTCTATCAGACTGGGCACCAAGACATTAACATCTGGCCTGTTGAGACAGTGTGACTCCCAACCACACAGTAACACCTCCAGTACATCCTACTTTTACCGGGTTGGATGCTTGTGAGGTTTTCCCACACATAGGTGGTTGTGTTGAGAGACAGAGCTCAGACTAGATAGTTTTGAGAAAAGCTTCCAGGCTGGTAATACAAGTTGTTGCTATTTTCCAAACTATCCTCAGCAAATTGCTATAATTTATACTGCAAGCTTCACAGGTCCAGGGAATGGGATGGACCACTGCAGAGCTTCCTTCTAGCATATACTGCAGCAAGAAAGCAGTCCTACAACACACAACTTAATGAAGTGCTACAGCCCACTTGCATTATGCCACTCAGATCCATCCCTGCTAGAGACACTACTTATGAGCATCACTCACAGCTTTTTAGTACTGGTGGACTAGGATGTACACGTTTTAGGTCAGGCTTAAACATGCCTCGGAAGAGCTGTTCCTGCAAACCTCCAAAGACCTTTGTCATCCTTATGAATTCAGAAGGCTTACTCATTACTTAAAAAAGAAATGGCACAAAGGTCACAAGGAATCAACAAGGAAGCTGATAGCAAAAAATCCTACTGTTTAGGGGCTGCTACTAGGTCTTGAAAGAGTCATTTGTCAGCAGCTTTTATTAAATCTTTAGGCAAAAAGCCTGGGGAATCGGTACCTTCTAGACTATATTATCAGCAATGCTCATTTCAATATGTACAGAAAGCTGACTGCTGTATGAATAAACCTTAAACTTTCAAAAGCCAACATTTAAGAGAAAATATTGCGCAACAGAGTTCTTGCTCACACTTAAGTCAGTAAAGCTCATTTTTTTCCCCGATTAGTCAGAATGGTGGAAGCATATATTTTGTAATAAAAAGTTTCCGGCTGCTTTTTGAAATGGAAAAAATATCTGTCCCAATTATGTAAGTGCAGCCTGGCATGTGGCTTACTTTTAAATCCGTATATTTTATGCATGACTATGAGGTACGATACAAGAAAGTGGGTGTCTTCCTAGCAATTGGGACACAGATATAAAGCTTCTGCATCTTACTATTTGAGGATGTGATTGGTAAAAATTGTGAAAATACTTAAGGCAGCTTTGCTATTACTTACACGCTATGTAAAAAACCCGATTATTAGGCAACTCAGATCCAGTTGGGGCATAAGGTTATTTTTAAACTGTAAAATTGGACAATAACAGTTAAGTTTGAACCAAAAGCTTTGATTCTTTAATGCTTCACAATTTAACTCAAGATATTTTAAAAAAATACATTGACACAGTACTTCATGTTCTTAGCAAACATTTACACTTCATGCAAGTTCATGACGTGAACTTCTGCAGAGAAGGACTTGGGGGTGTTGGTCACCAAGAAGCTTCACATGAGCTGGCTTCAGTGTGTGCTTACAGCCCAGAAACCTACTGTATTCTGGGCTGCATCAAAAGGAGCGTGACCAGCAAGTAGAAGGAGGTGATCCTGCCCCTCTACTCTGCTCTCGTGAGACCTCACTTGGAGTATTGTGTGCAGTTCTGGCGTCCTCAACATGAAAAGGACATGGAACTGTTGGAACAAGTCCAGAGGAGGGCCACGAGGATGATCAGGGGACTGGAGCACCTCCCGTATGAAGATAGGCTGAGAAAGTTGGGGCTGTTCAGCCTGGAGAAGAGAAGGCTGCGTGGAGACCTCATAGCAGCCTTCCAGTATCTGAAGAGGGCCTACAAGGATGATGGAGAGGGAGTCTTCATCAGGGACTGTAATGGTAGGACAAGGGGTAATGGGTTCAAACTTAAACAGCGGAGATTTAGGTTAGATATAAAGAAGTTCTTTACTGTGAGGGTGGTAAGGCACTGGAACAGGTTGCCCAGAAAACTCATGGCCGCCCACTCCTGGCAGTGTTCAAACCAGGTCGGATGTGGCTTTGAGCAATCTGGTCTAGTGGAAGGTGTCCCTCCCCATGACAGAAGGGATAGAACTGGATGGTCTTAAGGCTCCTTCTAGTCCAAACCATTCAATGGTTCTATGATAAAATTGCCCTAGACCACCTCTAGACAGAAGATTCTCATTTCTGACCAGTTTAAACCCGAGTCTGGGAATGTATTTAGTGCTTACCTGTTTTCAGGACTTTTTACCTGTTTGCAGAGGCTAAGTGGGATTTACAAAGAAACTGCATTCTAAATGAATAGTTCTACCAGTATAACCACCACAATCTGTTTTTGCTGTGAGCACATCACTCTCATGCATGCAATAACCAAAGAGATAAGCACAGTTAAAAGCACAAGACTTTTATAAGTTAAAAAACAAACCAAAAAGAAACAACTCCATGCACACACAGATCAGGGAAAGCACTTTAACAGTCTCCATCCAGGAATCTCTCTACTTGACTCTCTACAGCTTGCTATCAGAATCCCTTCTTCCATATTTTATTAGGAAAAACTGCAGTGTAAAGTTAATCACATCCTTAGTGACTTTGGGGAAAAATCTCTGCTGTCAAGAATTCACCATTTTTGGAGGATGGCTGACTGCAGAGTTAACGCTTATTTTCAATTAGCTGTATCTATTTAAAGTCCCCACTTAAACACAGATTTCAGTTTGTATACTTAATATAATGTAATTACAGTTTGCAATATTTTATAACTTTAAAAAGTCTTCCAGAATCCAGAATTTGTATGTACAATGTTTATTATGAATCACATTCACAGTGCAATACAAATTACATAAAAGCTATACAACAAACATATAAAGACTACATGGAGCACATACCATTCTGTAATACATACAATACCTGATGCTTAAGCTAGAAGTGTTCTTAACACCTGTTAGCAAGAAACTGAAATCAAAAGATAAATAATTGGATTTTTAAAGTCCTTCATTATTTAGGGGGTTTTTATTAAAAACTCTTCAGATTGGTAAGCAGGCTATCAAGGTAAAAAAAGTTAAAAAAAGCAATATCCTGCTCTTTCCTAGCATTTAAAAAGTTTTTCCACTGATTCTAGCCTAGATTAATTTTTAACTAATCATCCTGTCCCCCAGAAAAAGTAGTCACAAAAATCAATTCAGCATTTTGTTTCCAGAGCAGGTTAATGATATAAAAAATAAACTGTGAACATACATATAACCATGCCTCAGCATATAAGTTTGGAAGTATTATATGTAGAAATTTAGAGACCAAGATGGTCCAATATGCACTGATTAGACAACTTACACAATGATAGTTCTGAAGTACATGACACAATGTTCTGTCCATAAAAAAAATACATTTACTGTATGTGTCTAGATTAATCCCAGCAAGTGTTTGTTGAGTTGTGCTAGTACTTTGGAGACTGATCTAAGATTTTTAGGCATTTTCACAGCCTCTCCTCACACATATATAAAGAAAATTAAATCCTGGCTGGCTAAGGGCAAATAAGTGGTAATTTCTGCTACCAGTCAAATTCTGGTGGCTGTTTGATTTCATTTTGCTTTGCCAAATAAAAGCATCTCCCAGAAGTGAGCATGTTTCTTATCTTCAGAACACCAATGGTTTATCAGGAGATATTCTTCCTTATTTCATCTATGATAACATGAACAAGAGGTCCCAAGGACATACTCTTTAAACTAATGGCAGGCATTTGCCTAGTAGCAATAAAACAACAGCTCAGAATGTCTCCTGGGCATGACAATCACAGATTTCAGGACAACACATTCTTTCATGTGCTAATTCTAAAAAATTAGAGAGATGTGTTTTTTGCCACCCACTTCTGGAGCTTAAGCACAAACTGAGGAGTCAAAACTCATTTTCAGTTAAGATGCACAACATCTTCCCTTGTGACAGATGATCATAACAAGGAAATTATTGCTTTAGCAGCTCAACACAGCCCCAGTCCATTCAATGGATTCTAAAGGCTACATAAACGGGCAAGCTACTGGTTTAATTAAGAAATTTGGTTTTGTGTGTCTGCACATGCAAACTGTTCAAGTATTACAGAGGGCTTGTAAACCTTGACATAAGCTTTAAGTACATGTAGAAAAATCAGTAAGGATGTAATGTACAAAAATAAATCAATCATGTATTTAATATTCATATAGGTTTGCATTCTAATATGTACTATACAGCAATAAGCATCCTTACAGAACAAATGTATCTCCCAAAATGCTAGTAGCACTTCTCAGGTCTGTTTTAAGAATCAACACAAAATAAACCCTATAGCTGTATGTAGTACTTTGCAGCCAAATTTTCAGTACTACTACTGAGTGTAACACCCTTCCCCTGGGGATCTAGCAAGAAAGAACTCTTTTAATGCCATCACAGCCCTTCTCTGACTCCTGGTTGCTATATGGCCCTTCTAGCAAACAACAGCACCAGAAAGTTAATGCTCCAAGTCCCAGGGAGCCTCATTTATATTCCATACATGGCTTAGGAATACCAGAGGCAGTTGTGTCACCAGAGACCCTGAGTGGACCTTAGAGCACCTTCAGTGGAGCACTCATGCTCAGAATTCATCTCAAAGCAGAAGAGCCTGCCAAGTGCTCACCACAACACTGTTATGATAGCTCTTGGCATAAATACTGCTGCAAACTACTCAAAAAAGATGGTGAAGCAGAATAAGACAGATGTACGTTTTATAAGTCATGCACTGCTTCTGAAAGCATGCTGCAAGGAGAATTCATTTCAAAATAGGCATTCAGAAAAAGTCAACGACTACAGCTTCCTCCCCGGCCCCCAGTGAAGACAAATTTGCACGTGGGAGTTTTGAGCAGCGAGTTTCACATAAATGCACTTTCTTAACAACATGTCTGTATTAAAGGTAACAATTATTACTGTATCAAATTTGTATGAGCACTGCATTTTTCCAATGTGTATTACCATTAGATGTTGATAAGGAATATTCAAGTGTCAACAGAAGTTTAGAAATCACTGTAAAAAGTTAGTAGAAAACCTCCATTGTCTCTGGAGTTGAAAAGTAAGTTTCAAACACAACACACATTGGAAGCTATGCCATTTACTCCAGTTCATGTAATGCAGTATGAAAACCACCAATAGCTTTATAAAAGGATATATAAGAAATACAAAACCAAATGACAAAACCTCTCAGATACTACTTCAACATTCAAGCCAAGTGACATCCAAGTGCTGAGACAAACCGTACGTGAACACCTTCATGTTAAACTTCACATTCCCATCTGCATGTCAGCAAAGTTGTAGAAATTGTCTACATCTTGAGATGCTGATGCCTTGCTTTCTGATACAAAAACCTGTTTTATTAAACAAGGAAATAGTTACACATCACTAATAAACACATTCAAGTACTTTTTGCTCATTTGAAGCCAGTAATTGTTATTTTTATATTTGCATTTCTTGAGAGGCTGGGTTCCACTGTGTGATTGAATAGTGTTAGAATTCTCTCAGCCCTCATGCACACTCTGTTACCGTCACCTGTTCCTACTGACATGCTAGCTGCAGTAACCCTAGCCTTCCAATGATGAGAATTAGAAAATTTGGGCTTGATTATTCAGGGACCACAGCTTCAGATATTCCCCTTTTAGATGTATTTTGCTCGGTAAAGTCAAACTCTGTCTAGGAGAGAGCAGGGGAAAAACAAGCATACAAAAACTTTAGACTACCATTAAGCTTTCCTTTAACAAAAAGTCAGGGTTTGTAAGAGACTCCTTTGCATTCTATTCCCCTCCAAAACTTGGCTGCTTCTTTATCAGATGATTACTTGTTTTTATATAACTTCAGTTACATTTGCTTTTTTGCAGAATTGAGCAACACATGTGAAAGTCCAAGCTCCATTACAGTCATCTTTGAAAGCTTTCAGCATATCCACTAAAAATGCCTTAGGCAATGCCCAAATAGTTCAGTGGAACAGACAGTGTTGTGGCTGTTCCTCAATCTGTACATGCAAGTGATAGCCTCAATCAAAAACTGGAGTTCTTACTATCTTATATTTTCCATACCTCAAGAGAAAATCATCACTGTCTGAGCACACTAGTGTTGGCACAGCCAGGTGAGCTATTTCAAAGTGATCTGGGACTGCAGGAATGGGTCATTCCAGATGACTCTGCTACAGCAGTCACCACTTTTCTGCTTCAACTCCTAACACCATGTGACTGTAAATGATGACAATTCCTGGAACTTGTTTGTACTTAAATTGTGTTTTAAGATGAATATCCTGTTGCCCAGTAAATTTCTAAATGAAACAAAACAAACAAACAAACAAAGATATCACCACAAAGCAAGTAGTTTCCTAGACTGTTGCTTGAATGCATGGTAGACTTCTATTTGAAAGGACTTAAAAATACCTACTAATTATTTGGCAGTTGTTCGGTGGGACAGCAACCAGTACCATAGCCACAACAGTTAAATACCTTGTTTCAGCACCCCCCAATACCAGGATATTGTGATTTACATTTTGCAGAGTATTTTATGAATGACTGATGAGATGGAGGAACAATATGAGAAAGCATGCCAAAAAGTCACACCAGAAAGAATGTCAGAGGTAAAGAGTGCAGACACTCCCAGTCCACACAAATAGGAAGTCTACTCAAGTGCAGAGCATAGAGCTCTCCTTGTAACATGTTGTTTCTAGCAAACAGCTCAAAAAACTGTGGTGGTACTATTACTGAAGAACTTTTCTACCCTTATTAGAGTACCTAAAGTTGCATTTATTTCAGAAACAAAAAAAACCTCGCGAAATTAAGGTTATTAATGGATGACCTGTGGTTTTCAAACGCAAATGTAGCCACCTGCTTAAAAACAGATTAAGCTCCTGCAGAGTCTTACAGGATACATGTATTCCTAAGAGCTTTTGTTGTTGTTTCTTGATCAAGGATACCTATAATTCTTTCTGAGTGCTACAACAACTCTCAAACATGATAAGGGCAGCCAAGAATGAAGTGAAACCATTTTACAGAGCATTCCTGAAGCTTCTGGTAGCAATAAGTCTGAAATTTGTTAATCCCTAAATTGTTTCTAGGTTGTGCCCCAAGGAAGAAATAGGTTTTTTTAAGAAAAGTATACTCATTCCCTTATCTAGGGATCCATGCACAAACCTAGTTTTTATCAGAAGCTTTGGAGTTATATTTTATCTAAAGAAAGATATATACTTCTCAGGAAGACTAAAGTTCTGCTTCTTAATTCAGTGCAGCAAGTATTTTATAAGTGAGGCAGATTTTACCATGTAACCAGGCTGTAAACAGAAGTTTTAAATCCAGAGGCAGTAAGTAATTTCATACTTGAAACCAAACCCAAACACTACCAATCACCTCCAAGAGCAATGCTTACTTCACAGCATGAAGCACACAGGCTGAGGTTTCTGATTTTCAGATCAGGACATTGTGCTGTTATAAACAAACACTAGTCATTTCCAATTAGGAAAATATGACATATTATTTGTTCTAGTAATCAATATCACTTCAATCTTTGAGTCGAGAAAAAGATCAAGAAGAACCAGTGAGTTACCTATCCAGTAACAGCTTTGTTCTGTATGGAAAAAGGAAACAACGCTAACCATATGACAGAAAAAAAACCCACAAAACCCCAAAAAAAAACAAAAAACCCAGCACTGTAAGCTCTTGTTTTAGAGAGACCACTTTTATGGTAAAATTCGCAGTGATAGCTTTTGGGTCAGAAGAATTGCTCGGAATGTAGTTCTAGGATTCTCTGGACTGACAGCCAAATCAAGGCCTGCTACACATCAGGTTTTTGCTGGTGCAATAGCAAATATGAAAAAAGCAAAAACATCAGCTGCATTAGAAATGACTTATTACAAGATAACTCCTTCTCCAGAAACTGGGCTGTCTAGTTCCTAGTAACTCTTTCAAAGGAACCAAAAGACAGGAAGTTGCTGTATGGACATTATGTCTCAGAGACATTCTAGTCTTCTTTGAACAGCTGCTTCACAGCAAAGGGTTTGTCACTTTCTTGTTACCAGGAGTGCTCTAATTATTTCTAGAAACTTTCTCAAAACCATTGCCATTTAGAGAAATGAGGACAACAAGCAAAGTGGAGGTGTGGTGTCTTTGAAGGAAGGCATTTTGCAATATCCTACACTGCAAAAGTAAACCTTGAAAAAGGATGAAATCCTGAAATCTCATCATATTGTCTTTGTCAGGATTTAATAGACTGGAACATCACAAAGCAGACTTCAGCATAACACTTGCAGCAGAGCTTTTCCCTGCTATATTTATAGAACTTGTTTTCACTATTATGTGAAATAACAGTTGGAAGTGGAAATCTTCTATTCTTCAATTGATATGATGGGGATTTAGTACTTTCTTTCAAGGGCAATTTTTCTTGCCCCTGACGATCAACTTGAGTTTGGAGTACAAAAAACCACAAAACCCAACAAAACACAGGATATTCAGGTTTTACTATTCAGAAACCTAAAAAGACCGTGCAGTATGTCATCACTATGGCTTTTCCATGAAGTACCCCAGACATTCTGTGACATTTTTTGCCAATAAAGCAATACAACAGCTTACCTTGGTCCCACTGAAAACATCATTTACAATGCTTTGACATCCTTCCACAGCACCATCTCCATTAAACTCCAAAGCAACCACTGGACCTAGAAGATAGTTTCATCTAGAATCAATACTACTTTTAAGCTTGGCATTGAAACAGTAGACTTTTCAATGCACAGGGAATTGTGAAGCTTGCAAGAGGTATTTTATGTTTTTTGCCTGAGCAGCCATAATGCAAGATAAAGAATTAAAAACACTTAACCACAGCTTCAAAGTACAGTGTTATCTGAGAACAAAATATCTGAAATTCCATGCTCATTTTTGCAGAGATTCTGGCAGAATTCCAGTTTACTTCTTGAACAGCAGTAATGGCACAAAACCACTAAGGAGCACAGGGCATCATGGAAGTGAGTCAGATTATACTGTTCAAGTAGTAAGCCATTTCACTGACATCTGGAGTAGGACTGAGTCATTCAGGCATTTTTGCCTCAGTCCCAAGATAGCAAACTGCCTGATTTTTAGACTTGTTCTCACTCACTATTTGCAGATCCTTTTTCTCTGGTTTCATTTTGAACACGTTATTTCTTCCCACATGGGTGCAAAATAGCCTTTAAACTAGACTGCCATCTGAGAAGTACAGTAACTTTTGGTCTGTTCTTGCAATGAGCATCGTAGGCCTCTTATGTTACTATGAAAAAACCTGAACGTTGCTACTAAGTTTGGGAGCTTATATTGAGCTTTAGCATATAACAGATGGCAAGATGTCAGTACTTCTGCAGGAAGAGACAAAAAACAATTACAGTCAGATCAATAAAAAGGCTTCTGAAATACTCTGACAGTACACCAGTTAAACCAGGAATTTAACACTTGCCTGCTTTATACATATCTATACCTATTTGCTTGAATATGTATACGGAAAAACTGAACATCTGGGTATTGAGCAGCAATGGTGAGAAGTTAGAAATAGTCTAAAAGGGTGAGCTTTAACCACTCCCGACAGATCTGCTTGTGCCGCTGCTCCTGAGCTATACGGTTGCACCACTAGAGGGGAGGCAGAGCCACAAATTACACGTGGAATAGCTCATTTCTGATGCCTTCAGGAGTTTTGGCTAGTTTAGGACCTCACTGAGGTTTCCAAAACTCATCTCAACTGGGTTTACACTACGCCATTGAAACCCAAATTTGTCCTTCATTCCTCTTTCTTCTCCAGAACTCTCTAGTGACAGCTAGATACCTGTATCAAGGGAAAGCAAACAACACAAGCTCACCTTTTTCAAGGAGTGAAATGAATTCTGATGCACACTGCTGGAAGACTCTGTGAGCATCCTCTGCCTTCATGGAAACTTCTTTAGTCTGTACCAGTTGAAAGCCTTTACCAATCATCTGTTAACAGAGAAAGAATTCATGTTAAAAATACTTTTAAGGCAGAGAGTTCAGCTCAAATATCCATATTACACTGGAATAGACCCATTTTTCCCAAACACACATCAAGCCACAGAGCAAAGGGTCCCTTTTTTATTTTTTTTTTCAAAAACCATTGCTTTTTCTAGATTTCTGTTTATTTTCATTCCATTCATCCAGATTTTCTCCTCTGGCCTAGTGCACCTAGAGGAGTAAATGCAAATGGTTTTGGTTTATATGATGGCCCAGGGTTGTGGTTTTTTGCCTCACAATCTCTCACAAGTTGAAACTAATGGAAATTAAAAGCATTCAGCATCTGGAGTCAAGCAGTTAGTTCTCATTAGTCTGCAATAGTTCAGTCAAGCGTTAGCTCAAACTCTCATCTATCCACTGGTACAGTTTTCCATTTTGGAAAAATAGTTACAAACTTTGGAACACATGCAGCTTTTTACTTCAAATCTGATACAAAACTAAAAGCATGTGGAGAAGGATGAACTGTATTTGTACTTCCACAGCGTCCATTAACCTACAGAGCTGCAAGATTTCCACAGAATTTCACTAACTAGGCTTTTAGTGTTGTCTTGACTCTAATTTCTAAAGAACTACTAACACAAAACACATCTATTATCCTCTTTACTACAGCTATTCCTTCTCCGGATACCCATAAGTATCATTGTCTCCCTTCACTCAAGTAGCTGTTAGTAGCTCAGTTCCATAAAAAAACAAATGAGCAGTGGGGGGAAGGAGGAGCATGGAAACACCCCACAGCTTTCTTTCCCTGAAGTTAAAACACAAGGGAAAGACCTCCATCGGTTGTTTTGTTGATCATACAGCACTGGGATCAGCAGCTTTTGCAGATACCTCTTCTGTCGGAAGCTGTAGCTCATGGTTACTGGTTCTGCTCTGTCATCCCTGGCACTCCAGGGTGCTAAAAGCAGCCAGCCACTCCCAGGTTTTAGCCCCAGGAAAGCCCCAAATCTTGCCAAGCTTGGAGCTGCTGCCTGGAAGTTAAAAAAAAAAGCCAGGAAGAGACAGCACCAGCTATTTAAGTAATGGAAGACAGCTATCAGCTGTGACACATACTCACTACCTCTTCCAGGGAAAAATTCCAATACTGGGTGGCAGGGGGAATACAATTTAACATGTTGGGGTTTTTTTAAAGTCCCTGTTAGTACTGGTGAAACTGTCAGGCCAGGCTGTTTTGTTAGCTGTGACTTGCAGGGCAGCAAGCTAACAAGTTAATTGGCTCTTTGCCTTTCACAGGCATTGCCTATCACTCACGACACTTGGCCAAGTTCATCAAATCAACTAAGCATTTTCTTCAGAACATAGCGTTGGTGTGTGCCATAACAGAAAAGTACACTGGAACTATTACAAGATAGACGCGCTAGTCCCAGAATGTCAGATGTAAAACAACAGATTGGATCCAGTCTCTTACCTTGCTTTAAGGTTTTAAACAGTGCAGTTGGCCTGTATGGTTAGCAGACAAGCAGGGCCTCTGTGTTCTCCCTTCAGGGAGCACCAGAGGCTGTCTAGAGGCAACTTCAGTTAGAAATTCAAACAGCTGAATGAAGACAAAGGTTGCTCACCTCATCAATTAACTTCCTGGCATTTGCAGTTGTGTAGTCACCAGCGAAAAACACAGCCAAACACGATTCATCGCTGTTTTTCTGTCTCTGCCCTCGAGTTACTGGTATTATGCTCCTTGTGGCATCAGTAGAAATTCTGACAGCTTTCAGCTCCTCAGAGCTGGGCAGAGGAACATAATCTTGGACTACAGCATTCTCCGGCAAAAGGCCCCAGTTATTTTCTCCTGACACAGGGGTAAAGTCATGGATGTTGCTCCACGTGTTATTGAAGATACTCAGTCCAGCATCTTTAAATTGTAAAGCAAGCTCAGGATAATAGTACTGGAAACATCCAAATCTCATACCAGTGGAGGACTCAATAATGGGCTGGGTAGCACAGCACAAAAATACCTCCAGCTTTCTGCAGTCCCGAGTGCGAAACTGTTGACAGGCCACTATACATTTACAATCTTTGCAGTCACGGAAAAACACGCTGCCCTTTATTGGTCCTAAAAAGATTTGGCAGTTTACACAGTCATCAATAGTGATTGTAGCAGAATTGTCAAATATGTAGATCTTACAGTTCTCACAGTCCTGAATGATGAATTGTTGTCCTGCTACTTTTCCAGGCAGCCGGCCCACAGTTTCATCTTTAAGTCCAGAAAATGTGTAATCTTTGGGGTCAATCTGAAGAAGGAAGAAAAAAACCAGAAAACATGAAAGCTTCCCCATACAGCGACTATTATAATGCTAAATGTGAATTCACTTGTATTAACCGAGGTAGCACTGAATTGTACAGGATAACATGACAGAAAACTCTTCGAAGAATGATGAAAGATTAGAAGCAGATCTCTTATCTAAACTACTGTAATGCGCAATGAAGAACTGAAAGTATACTTCTGAGATGCTCCAGGAAGAAACCCAACTAACTCAGTTGGTCCTCTGATACAGAATGGAGGCAGGGGCAGCTAGCTCTCTCTGTGGCCTCTAAACTGTTTCAATGTGGGTATTAAGATAATAACTGTAGTAAAATGGCCAACAAACTTGCAGATTCATACAGATACATAGTATCCCCTTTTCAAGTAGCTTTCTCAGTCATATTTTACCACATCTCAAGATGTTGCAAGGAAACCCTGCTGCTATCAAGCAGTACCTTCTTTATTATGTTTGCAAACTACAAAGACCTCACTTATCTGAGCCACAGCATTATCTTGTGCTAACAACTACAAGATTCCTGGACTAACAACAGCTACATGACTGTTTTAGCTACAACCAACAGGCAAATATTGGCAGTGGTGGTGCAGAGGCACGTTTACTGACATCTCCTCCATGCTCCAGCATCCCACTGCCAAGGAGAGACTCTTGAGAAAGGCTGTGGCTTCCCCTATTGGGGAGCAGGGACTGAAGAGCCACATGGTGCCCAGGATGGTCTGGAACACAGGTGGAGAGCATGAATAATACAACCCATGCTGTCGTAACACCAAAGGAATCTGAGCTAGTTCATTTCTAGATAGACCTAAGTCTCAAGACAACTATAATTCCCAGAGCAAATTCTACTCTGCCCTCTTGTGAAAGCTTATTAAAATAGCATTTAGAAGTATACAAGTACCTGAACTAGTTTAACACAAAACCAATTCACAAACCTGCTTTTGATTTTCTGCCTGAGGGCCCCAAATTTTGCTGCACGATAATCAGTGTTAATGTATTACAAAAGTTTCTGTATAGCCTAACTTGTAAAAAACTCCTCCTCCCCAGTATTTCAAACATTTACATGAGATTTTGAGACCAAAAAAAGGCACGAACCAGGATGGGCTGCCACCAGACATCCACTAAACCAGCTCAGCCTGTGTAGCTTTAGTCCAGAACAGCTAATGGAAGCTAAGGTACTAGTTCCACCAACTTCTAAAATGTACTCCTTTATATACAACATACCTGACCTCCAGACAGGAAAGTAAGTTTGCAGCTGACGAGTCTTCCAAATAAAATGCAAATTGAGACAATGAAGATGGCTTCCTAGAAATCTCCCCTCAATCATACTTAATACCACTGGAACACACCCAGGAAAGTTAGTTGGAAGAATTTCAAGCAAAATTATGAGGCTCAAATGATAAAGTATGCATCACGGAGACAGCCACATGGTATAGATAGTAGGATAACCATGTATCAGGATTCAAACCCTCTAAGGTTTAAAGTCTTATGAAATGTTCTACATTTGATCCATATATAAGATATTTGTATTAGTTTTGTCCCATCCCTGGCAGTGCTCAAGGCCAGGTTGGATGGGGCTTTGAGCAAGCTGGTCTAGTGAAAGGTGTTCCCACCCATGGCAGGGGATTAGGAATTAGGTAAGCTTTGAGGTCCTTTCCAACCCAAACCATTCTATGATTCTATGAAGTATGAACATGCAGAAGTGTCTAGGCCTGGGAATGCACTTTTCTTGCTTGTTTTCTTTCTGTTAATTCCCCTACTGACAAAAATAGCACATAAATCCTCTTAAGTCTGTGTGTCTACCTTATAGCTGCAGCTTTTAACGTCACTGGGTCAGCAGCTGATTCTTGGATGTCATCAGCTGAAGTCCAAAGCTGAACCACCATCTGTTGTGATTAAACAGACAGGGAATGACTTTTTTGAGAACAGTATTTAAAAGGGAAGACCTTTCTGTAAGTGGTTTAGAAAGACTCTGCAAATTCTTGTTTGCTCAGCCAGCTGGACTGAGATGACTAGGGGAGAACCATAATCCATTAAGTACAGCAGTAACTTCTCATATTTGTGGTGGCATGTCATTACTGACTGAAACTCCTTTTCTGATGGACCCAGTGAAAAAGTCTTATTAAGACATAAAGCCATACCAGAAAGAGTTCAAGAAGCTGTTGGGATCCTCAGCCATTCTAAGTACAGTTGCCATTTAAAAACTGTGAAGGTCTAGTACTTCTGAGTCATCTTCCAACTGGGAACTCTCTAGTCTTAGTGCCAGTAAACTGCATAATGGTGGTTGAAGGGATGTACATTATCTACAGCCTTCATGTCTGGCCTCTGACCTTCCTGCAAGAAAAGTGTTTACAGGAAGGAAAGCTGCTTAATACACCTTGCACTTGTTGCAGCAGAGCTTCCTAGAGTTCAAAGCAATCATAACAAATTTTGTTTGTCTTCACTTCTCTCCCGTCTTTGTTCTTTAAAATCCCTGCTCCTTACAATTCGTCCTTCAGCCCTTCATAACAAATTTATCACCAGTGTCATTGCTGATAACCAAGACAGACTTGAATATCTCTGTCGAGGGGGAGGAATATTGTGCAAGCAGGGATTACTTTTTCGTCATCATATCTGATTAGTTTCAGTCCCTCTATGGAGTAATTCTTGAACCTGCACATAGCACTTCTGTTAGAAGGTTTCAACTCTTGAACTATGCCCATATCTATTACTGCATGACTCATAACTACTCTAAAAACTCCTTAAATTCAGCTGAAAGCATTGAAAGTTGCCTCTATAAATACTGTCATCATTTGGACTTACACCAGCCTGAGGAAAAGACATAGCAATGTACTGAGGGATGGAGAGTAAAGCAACTGCGTGAGTGGGATGGGTAGATTTGGACAAAGTTCTTTGAAGCTTTATCCAAACGCAAAGGATAAATAGATGAGTTATCAAACAGTAGATTTTTGCTGACCTGACACATACTTACGATTTTACAGCATTAGTTGCCCAGATGAACAGACAGAGAAATCTACATAGCCCTGACCATGGTTATATAAGACTGCAGAGGTTACTTTCTTCTGCTGGTGTTGGTCTTTCTAGCCTGCTTTTTTGCTACGTTGCAAAGACAGAGCTTAAGAAGCAGTTAGTGCTGACTGTCAGGGGAAGGAAGGTGGACACAGTGGTTTAATACTAACCTGATGATGATAGTGCAGACTTCAGAGACTGTGAACATGAACTAAAAAGGCAAACGGCATCCTGGCTTGCACTGGAAATAGCATAGCCAGCAGGACTAGGGAAGTGATCATCCCCCTGTAGTCAGCAAACTCCTTAGCGTGGTGAACAAACTTGTCTCTAAATTGGAGAGACATCAATTTGATGGATGGACCACTCGGTGGATAAAGAACTGGCTGGATGGCCACACACAAAGAGTTGTGGTAAATGGCTCAATGTCCGGCTGGAGACCAGTAACGAGTGGTGTCCCTCAGGGATTGGTGTTGGGACCGGTCTTGTCCAACATCTTCGTCACTGACATGGACAGCGGGATTGAGTGCACCCTCAGCAAGTTTGCCAATGATGCCAAGTTGTGTGGTTCGGTTGATATGATGGAGGGAAGGAATGCCATCCAGAGGGACCTTGACACGCTTGTGAGGTGGGCTGATGCCAACCTCATGAAGTTTAACCATGCCAAGTGCAAAGTCCTACACCTGCATCAGAGCAATCCCAGGCACAGCTACAGGCTGGGCAGAGAAGAGATTCAGAGCAGCCCTGATGAGAAGGACTTGGGGGTGCTGGTCGATGAGAAAATGAACATGAGCCGGCTTCAGTGTGTGCTTGCAGCCCAGAAAGCCAACCGTATCCTGGGCTGCATCAAAAGGAGTGTGACCAGCAGGTCGAAGGAGGTGCTCCTGCCCCTTTACTCTGCTGGCCTTAGGTAATATGGTTTAGAGCGAGGTGTCCCTGCCCACGGCAGGGGGGTTGGAACTTGATGATCTTAAGGTCCTTTCCAATCCTAATCTATGATTCTATGTAAGAGTCATGTCAGGGGATGACCCAGCTCATGTCAGGGAAATAAAATTGAGCTCCTGATTCTGGCAATAAGATGATTTATTTTTCTTACCATTAAACTCAACTACTACTCTCTCAAGCGCTCTCATCTGAAACTGCCTGTAAGCTGTGGTTAGCTGACTAACCAGTATTTTTCACCTAGGCCAAAATAAAATTGCAAGGTGGATGGGAAGTTTCACACATCGTTATAAAGGCCACTGTGTAGGACAAGCTATTGCTGCTTCAGAGGCGCTTTAGAGCAGAGCAGTTTAGAAGGACATACTTAAGCGCCAAATTTAAAAAGTATCTGTAAGTTCTGGTACCTCTGAACTTCTCCTTCTGAAGAGAAGTAACTGTTCCTGTACTGTTTTGATGGAAGTAAGTAAAATTGTCTCCCCCAACATAAAGGAACACACATGGGCAGGGATGCCTCACAATAGAACATGTTGCCCAAAGCTCTGTCCAACCCTGCCTTGAGCACTGCCGGGGTGGAGCATTTACCACTTCTTTGGATAACCTGTTCCAGTGCCTGGAGTTTCTTATTATACCTAACCTAAATCTCCCCTGTTTAAGTTTTAACCCATTGTCCCTTGTCCCATCACTACACTCCCTGATAAAGAGTCCCTCCTCAGCATCCTTATAGGCCCCCTTCAGATACTGGAAGGCTGCTATGAGGTCTCCACACAGCCTTCTCTTCTCCAGGCTGAACAGCCCCAACTTTCTCAGCCTGTCTTCATATGGGAGGTGCTCCAGTCCCCTGATCATCCTCGTGGCTCTCCTCTGGACTTGTTCCAACAGTTCCATGTCCTTTTTATGTTGAGGACACCAGAACTGCACACTGGACACTCCAAGTGAGGTCTCACGAGAGCAGAGCAGAGGAGCAGGATCACCTCCTTCGACCTGCTGGTCACGCTCCTTTTGATACAGCTCTGAATCTCTTCTCTGCCCAACCTGTAGCTGTGCCTGGGATTAACCCAACCCAGGTGTAGGACCTTGCACTTGGCATGGTTCAACTTCATGAGGCCAGCATTGGCCCACCTCTCAAGCATGTCAAGGTCCCTCTGGATGATCTCTTGCAATACTCGCTTGGGTTTGGTGCCCTTAAGCACTGAGTTGCAACATTCTCTGGAGACTGTTGAAGTTACTCACCTCTGGCAGATTTCTAGATTCTTACGCAACAAGAAAAGGTGGAATGGGAGACAGCATGTGCAAGTTCCAGTCACTAGCATACAGATTTTAATCTTGGAGCATCTCCTGCCCGCCCTGACTTCAAACATGGCCAATACAACAGTCTGAATGCACATTTCATTCTACTCTTTGTACTCTTCCCTCTCTTCCAGAGTACCTGTAATAGTGTAAACTGGTCATACTCATACTTTTCTGAGCAGCAAACCATTGCCAAATACAACAAATAGAAGAGGAAGAAGAAAGGAAGCTACCACATGCTTATTTCTGACTTCATGGGAAATATTGTTTAATATGAACCTGCAGAGCTTTTCTCAATTGATAGTCTACATTTTGAGGAACACGCCAGCAGTTCTGGTGCACTGTGAAGCATAAGGGAGATGCTTTGGATTTAAGGACAAAATATTTGTTTAGTTACAGGAAACAAAAAAGTGATTTTATTTATATTCCAAAACAAGATATAAAGCAGCTACCTAAATGAGATCTAGGTAGTTCACAATGCCCACATCAGCTCAGACCATTTTAGCACAGTCCTCGAACATAAGGTTAACAACAAAAGACCATAGTTTATATAGGAAGCTAAACCTCTGAGGTTTTAAAACAGCTTAAATACAGCCATCACAAGCAGCAATGATAGCTGTGTGTTTCCTATCAACTAAAGCAGTCAAGTTGCAAGTCAACTGACAAAAAACAAAACCATACTTGTTCCTTCTGAAAGGAAAAATCATCTGGGAAGGAAAGTCCCTCTAAGCTTTAAACGCCATTGCAATCCTAATCCTATTTCTTTGAACATGAGACAACAGCAAAAGAGACCATGAAGCTTTGTGTGTTTCTTCTCATGCAGGAAAGGTCATAGCATGTGGGTGTATCTGCCATAACAAGACATGAACCCCCAGTTCCCATCTCTACATACACATATTCAGTTAGTGCTGTAGTCATCACTCTGGTCACACATGTAAATAACATCTGTCACACAGAAGGAAGTCAGGTAGGAAAAGAAAAGGGAGTCCAGGAGCAGAAGATCTTACATTCCATATAGAAACCTAGCTAATGGTTGAGGAGGCCTGAGCACCACCAAGTTCCTCTCTCACACTTGGTCAGAAGGAGACTCTCACAACAGCCTAATGACATCAACACATAACAAGTCCCCAGAATGCAGTGCAGTAATAACAAACTCTAATAACTGTGCTGTACATAGTCTCCTGGACTAACAATCCCAGAGAAACTGAATATTCATCCTTTTCCCTTCTGTTTGAGAGAGTCTGATCCTTTGATTCTTCTACTGCACCACAAGTAATCTTTACTCAGTTCTTCGAACCCAGGGGTCAGCAAGCATTACAGAGATCTCAATAGACTTACACTGCAACCTAAACTTGATTAATTTTAGTATACTTTAAAAACACAGGCTTCTGTCCTCACTTAAATGAGGTCATGTAGTAATCTGAAAAGGCCATTCAGATTCATATACTTGCCTTTATTTCAATTCAACTATCAGCACTTTATAATATTTTGTATTTAAAGTTTTCTGCCACATGGTCCATTTTCAGGACTATTATACAGGAGTTACGTGTCAAGGTTCTTCTGGACAATCTCTTGTAATGGGTTTGGAGCCCTTAAGCACTAAGTTGCAACATTCTCTGGAGACTGTTTGACTATATATGGGTGCATAGTAATACATACATACATATGACTATTATATTATACATAATATAACTAGGATATCGTCATATTACTCTTTGGCTAGGTCTACACTAGCAAACAGTACCAATACTAATAACCTTTTGCCATCAGAACATAATTAAAATACACTACAGTAGCAAAGCTACTTCAGAAGCAGAAGAAATAGTTTCACTGGAGGAACTACTCAGGTTCAGAGCTTTTTACAGCACAGCTGTCAGCTAGCAGTCTCACTACAGCGAGTGTCAGCAGGTCACTAGTTTACAGGAAGACAGCTGGAATGTCTGAGTAGCAAGACTTACCCACCGGTAAGAATGTACAGAGGATAGCTTAGAAGAACAGCAGGCAGTTGCCAGACCTGTGTGAAGGACTGCACTATATAACCAGAACCACATCACTGGGTAGGAGTGCCTAAAATGAGAAACCCACTCCCAACCCTAATGGTGCATCAATACATTATTAAAAGTATCAGAGACAATACTTAAAGTTACCACATTAACACAGTATCACTTAATACAAACTGGGATCAACATGTTGATCCCTGAGTGCTAAGTGCTCAGTATTCCTTTACAGTATCAGAACTGCTTTCCTGGTTTAATGTACTAAGCATATGCCCCCCAAAGCCCAGTGCGAGATAAAGCTGAAAAGAACAAAAGAAAATGGGCTTAAAACAACCATTCTTAAGCTATATAGTATTAAAATCAAGCAGCTAATTTGTCAGCTTTCCCAGTTCAGTAGCAAAGCCCAGGCTCACAGATTCTTCTGGTTTTTAAGAGTCTTTTCTAAGTCTTTTACAGAAAAGGAGGAAGTTGTTGTACACTCAATATATTACATGCTTTGCTTCCCCCCCCCCCTCCCCCTCCCCGAAATGGGTTATTGGTGCTTCAATAGCCTTGTCTGTTAGCTTGAACCTACTTCTAGCACATCAGCAATGGCCATCTACTTAGCAACAAGGCTGACTGTTCTCTAAATCAAGTGTTTCTATGTCGTGGCTTTCCTCCTCCTAGTTTCAGAAGTTAGCACCGTATAAGCAGACTGGATTGAAAGTCTCAGATCTGTCAAGCTTTAGCTGATGAATTTGCTTAAAAAAAATTAAAAATTCAAATGCTCACTTAGCAAATTACTTCTGCAGAGGACTAAAATTTCTTCTGCTGCTCTAAGACAGGGTTTCAATACAGCCCTCTCCTTGTGAGAAGCCTCCATAGGAGTAACAGGTTGCCATGCTCCTCTATCCAGCGCTGCACTGCAAATACCCACTAGCAAGTCAAAGCAACAAGCCCAACACAGATCAACCATCTTTATCCTCAAGGAACCAGTTCCCCAGGGTCAGGTGCATGCTCTCGAGCTCTCTCAATCTCAGTTTGTCTTAATCTCCTTGGAAGACTTAAGGGACACCCTAGAGCCGTGTTTAAAAAACCAAACAAGCTAAGCATTCAAATAAATTAATGCATTTTCTTTTCTATACTTGCAAAATGAGGCCTAAAGGTTTGAGGATTTTGTTTGTTAAAATCACATCGAGTTTACAGCTGTTTTCCCCCTCCTGCCACCCCAAAGGCAGGTGGAGAGAAGGGGAGACGTAGCAGTGCTATGTCATATGAGGAAATGAAACTTGAAATGGGGGTGGTGAGAAATATATTTAATCTAGCACTTCAGTGCTTTCCTGCTGCCTTCAACAGGTCAGGAAACAGCACGGGGATGGGTTTGTCTTCATCTATCACTTCAGGGACTGATAGCGTAATTCTAGTTCCAATCGCTTTCAAAAACAAACACACACCCCAAAATACCCCAAAAACACAACCTAAACAAAAAGATCCCAACAACCCAAGCAGGAAGAATAAACATTACTGACAACCAGGGCACAAGTTCTATACCTCCACTGAAGCACCAGGAGCGGGGACTTCACCTCAGGCCGGCAAAGACCGCTACTGTCCGACAGACACAGGCCCACCGCCCGCAGCGCCTGTCCCAGCTCACGCTGACGGCCATCACCATGGGGTGTATCCCACCCCAGGGCAGCAGCCGCCGACACCGCCGCGGTCAGCTCAGCCGGACCGGGACCGCCGAGAGCACAGGCGAGCCACAGGAGCCAGCACACCGCCCTCTCCGCTTGCGCAACCGGAGGTAAAATCCTTAGGCTAAATACTTCTCAATTGCTTAACAAACGCACTTAACTGCACGGACCGAGCCGTAACAGCGGTACCGGGGGAGGTGAACTCCCTAATCGCTCCCCCCCTTCCTGCCCTATGTCCAGCGGTCACCGCCGGCGCCCCGCCACGGCTACAGCCCCACGCCCCCCCTACCCCTGCCGGCAGAACAGAGCGAGGGGCTGCCCGGCGACCCCGCAGCCGATACCCCGCCCAACGCAGGGACAACAGCAGGGGAGATACCTTGGCTCGCTGGTCCCAGCTGTACTGCGGCGCCTTTTCCTCTCCAGCCGCCTCATCTTGGCCGGCTCCCCCCGGCGCCTCTTGCTGCTGCTTCTGCTGCTGCCCGTCCTGGGCCGGCTTGCCGCGGCGGGAGAAGCAGCAACCCATGACAGCACCGGCACCGCCGCCACCCGACCGGCCGGCCTGCGAGAAGACACTAGGAGCGGGGGAGCCCGCGCCAGCGCAGCTCCTCGCCGCCCCGCCCCGCTCGCTTCCGGTTTCTCGCCGTCTCCCGTAGCGACCGCAACACTTCCACCCCCTCCCCGGCTCGTCCCGCCCTGGCCCAGCCGTCAGCAGGCGGGCCGCGGCTGTGTCTGCGTCTGGCAGCGCCGAGCTGAGGGGCCCGCCGGAAGCGGGGGTCTTCAGTGACTGCTTGCCCCCTCTCCCGCAGCGGTGAGGGTGTCCCCACACCCGTCCCGAGGGAGCGGCCCCGACCTGCCCCTGCACCGGCACCGGGTCGGAGGGGTCGGTAACCGCTCATGAACCACCAGCCCTAATGGGGCGAAACGGCTGAGCCTGTGGGAACCCGTGTCCCAGCTGAGGCCGCGCGCGGGTTCCCCTGTGGACGTCACAGGACCGTAGAACGGTTTGGGTTGGAAGGGATCTTGAAGGTCATCTAGTTCCAACCAGAAGCAAAATGTGAGGTGCAGCATGTAAATACAAACCAACCGCTCCATCAAGTCATCTTCTGCCGGTGCAACCCGTCCGGTAGGCAGGTGCCTCACCCTCTGGATGTGTTACACGGGGCTATAGCCGCCTTGCTCATGCTTCCGAGGGGTCTGCCCCAGAAGATTCAGCTTCCCTGGCTTCTTGTGAGCATCTCGGAGCACCAGCAGCAAGTGGCAGCATGAGAACCCACAGTGTCCTACAGCTCTGCACCTTTCTTTGCAAGTAGCTGGGCCTTCTTTGTGGGTTGTGGATTGTTTGGGGTTACTCCTTCCCCAAATTAAAAACTATAAAAAAATATAATAAAAAACCCACAGTTTTTATCAGACCGTCCAACCGTTCAAAGACATTTTCCTAAGATTTTGCAGATTTGATTCCTGGGGTAGAGGGGAAAGACTTACGCACTGCCTCTGAGGCTGTGTTACCTGGTAGTGAGTGGGTCGACATTGGCCAGCTGCCCACTCATCTACTCAGTCACTGCCCCTTTCAGCAGGACCAGGGGAAAAAAGATGAAACGCTTGTGGGTTGAAATAAAGACAAGGAGATCATTTACCGTTTACCAACACAGGAAAAACAGAATTGCCTTGGGGAAAATTGTTTGCCAATTAAAAATAGTTTGGTGGTGAGAAACAAAGCCTAAATGAAAACAACACTTTCCCTGAGTCAACTTCACATGTGCATTTCCAACTCCTCTACCTGCCACCAGCACGTCTCAAGGAGTGCAGAGAAGTTGGGGAATGGGGATTGCCATCAGTCTGTCCCTGCTCCTCTTTGTTGCTCCTTCCTCCTCACGCTTTGCTCCAACATGGGTCCTTCCATGGGCTGTAGTCCTTCAAGAAGCACTCCAGCGTGGGCTCTCCACCGGCTGCTGTTCCATCAGAAAATATCCGCCTGCTCCATCACGGGGTTCTGTATGGGCTGCAGTGTGGATATATGCTCCACTGTTGTCCTCTCTGTGGCTGCAGGGAGACCCTTGCTGCAGCACCTCCACCCTCCATTTCTTCTCTGACCTTGGTGTTTACACTGTTGTTCCTCACTTTCACCCCTCACTCCTCTCTCTCACACTGCTATGTAGTGGTTTTGCCGTTTCTTAAGCATGTTTTGGTAGAGAGTGTCACTGGTATCACTGAGGGGCTCAGCTTTGCCCTGTGGTGGGTCTGTTAGAGCTATCTGGAAGTGGCTGTGTCCAGTGTGGCAACCCCTGGCCTCTCCTCACAGCGGCCACACCTGCAGCCCCCAGCGCATAGCCACCTACACCCAGTACATAGCTACTTACAATACTTTGGAGGCCTTTTGCATAAGATAATGGGTGACACTCTTGCTGTAGAAGCAGAAGAGGAAGAAGAGAGGAGAAGCCCCAAGTAGAGAAGTGCCCTGCTGATTGAGCAGACTGAAAGGCTTGCCCTGGGGACAGCAGAAAGGAGGAAGCATGACCAATTGGCCAGAAATGGTTGCTAAGGAAGGGGGTGGCTGACATCCTTTGTGGCATCAGCTGCACTGTGAAACCTTACGCCTGGGCAGGTTTTGCTCTGAGATTTTGATGCTATAGTTCAAGTCAACAGCTCAGCCAGCACTACCACTGACAACACAAAGTACAGCTTTACATCTCAGCTACCAGGTGGATTTGCCCTATGAGCCACTCATCTGGGTTTCTCAGCCATTGGCTGGCTAGATCCTAGTCTTTCACTGAGTCCTCTGTGCACCAGCTCTTTCCATGGAGTGTCCAGTTAGGCCAGTTGGAGGCAGTTTGCAACTGCAGGGAGTCTGACACACCCTCACCTCTTCTAGCTCATGCTATTTAAGTCTAACAATCCTTCCAGACCACTGTGTAATCTATACAATTATTTATTATGTTAGATTAGCAATGTTGCTAATCTAATATATGCAGTCTTTTGGCAACCAGGCTCTTTTTCTGTGCATCCATTAAAAATATATAGTATTTGTTGGTAGAAGGAATAAAAATAACATCTGATACATTATTGTCAAAAGCTAACATATGAATTATTTAATCTATGCAAACCATAAAACTACCAGAACATGTTACCTCACATTAATGGATTATCTGTAGTAACAGAAGACTTCATAGTCCATGTGTGTAAAAGGACTTCTTCCCCTACTGAGTTGCAGCCAGCTCTACAATGGAAGTATCTCACCATTGATGTCAGTAGTACATCACAAAGGTATTTCAATGTAAGAAAATAAAGTAATTTGTACATCTCTAGAGAGCAGATGCAAGGCAAATGTAAATTTCTGAGTTGTGATTTTTCCATGCTGCCATGACCAATATACTTGTCTTGCAAAACAATCAGTCCAATAAAACTACAGGATTTTTATACGGCTACAGCTGATCAGGACAGACTGATCTGTCACAATGCAGCCTCTCAAGCTCCAGGGTTTCTCCTGACACCAAAGTACCAGGATATTTACTCCAGACCAAATTAACATGACTTGTGATTTGTAAGCACAAAACTTCTTAAAAAATTGCAAATGCCTAGTTCAATCTTTCATTCTCTATTTTTCTGCCAGCCAGACCCAACCCTCTTGGCTTCTGAGATTTGATACAATCATAGCCTGAAGTGTAATAATACAAGATTGCATAGTCACTACCAACCACTTACTTTAATTTCAACAAACTGCTGTAATTAGTGATTTACCTCGTGGGGATGTTGTGAAACATGCCTAATTACGGTCTAATACAGACCTTTGTGATCCCCAGACAATAGTTTCTAAGTAACTGAAAAAACATTTTAATTGTAAAGGTTATATTGTAAAGGATTTGGTGAAAGAGGCTTGCTGTACCCATACCTTCTGGTCATATGCAGCTCACAAGGGCATGTGTGTATCTCAGATCTCTGCTGTCCTTCCCAGGAGAGCAGTGATTCTGTTCCAGCAGGAGAAAAGTCTCTCTCAGGCATTTGGGCAAAGCATGTGCATGAGCTGTGTCACTGTATGAGCTGGCTCTTATCCCCACATAGCTTTGTAGTGCCTCCTTCCCCACAGGGAAGAAGGTCCTAACTCCCTTTCCGCCTTCTCTTGTTTGACACACTTGTGCATCCCCCCCAAAGGCACAGGGAAGGAGATGTTCTCAGTAAGCATCAGTACCTGGAAGTCTGCTCAAGTGCCGAACAGATAGCATAAGGAAGCTAGAGCTCGCTGTGTGTTCATCTGCACTTCTAAACCAGGGCAGAATCAGGTTTGCTCTGTGGTGTTGAGTGCTTGCCAAAACACACAAAGCTGAACTTTCACAACCTTCTTTTTAACAAGATCCATTGTTTTCTGTGCATGTCTTTTAAAGCTCTTGAAATCACATATTTGTGACAAAACCTGAAGGGTGTCTTGTTTAAAGCAGTTTTTTAATCTTTTTTTTTTTACAGAGAAGGTCTTGAAAATATCACTTCTAAGACATGAAAATCAAAATGACAAAAGAATGTAAATATTTTCTAAAATCTCGTTTCATGTTTTGTATCAGGAATGGTTGTAAATCCTGAACTTGAGATCCTGGCAACTTATCTAGGACTGGTATAAAGCTTTGAAAAGGTTTCCTAGTTAAGGTTAGATTCACCTATACTCATACAAAATTGTGAATTACAGATTGCAGAGGCAGATGACAAATACATTGAACAGCATTTTCACACAGCACTCATCACACACTCTGGGATCACGCTTGCCTTCTTTTTTATGTCTCTAGCAGATTCTCTAGCGCTGAAGAGTTTTGCCAGACTGAACACGAACATAAGCTAGTCTGGAGCTTGAGATCAGGTAAAACAAATAATATGGCTAATCTTGTGATAAAATTTATTAGAATCTATTTTGCATTGCTGTTGGTGATTTTGGACTAATGTCCTCCTGTTTTTCAAGCAATACATGGCTTTCCAGCATCTCCTTGCATATAGAACTTAGCCCTGGTCACCACTAACTTTGATGAACCGCACTACTGTTGGTCATCAAGGGAACGCTTTTTTTGGCAGCTGTTCCCAACATAGAGTCTAACTGTGATCTACAGCTTTAACGCTGGGATTATTTAAGTGGGAACAATGGATAAGTGTGCCTGTGTCCCAAGTTACTGTGAACTTACACCGTATGACAACGAAAAGCACAAACAGTAAAATTGAATAGTTCACATTTACTTTGTTCAGAAATGACCTTCCACATATTCCCACTGTAAATCAGCTTCCCTGTAAGAAGTTACATCATGTCCACACACCTTTTTCTGTTGCTGGTGCTTGGAGCAAAGATGAGCAGAGTTCTGTGCAGTACATGAGATGCAGACAGAGAGCACACTATTTAAAATAATTCTTAAAAGACACTACAGAGAACTGCAAGTCATTTCAGAAGGGTTTTTTTCTTTCCTGAAAATCTAAATAGTTCAATAATTTTAAAAATACATACATTAAATATTTTTTGCCAAATGAATGAAAGAATCATTTTAAAGTAGGTTATAACGTATTTTATCCTGTATAATTAAAGTATGTATCCTAATATTAGCATAATAGACA